TATGTTAGAGGAATAAACAATATTTGGTTAAAGGCGAATCGCGCTATATACTGACTTTTAAAACCTAAACATCCCCGTGGGTCATTTCATGCAAATGTTTGCAAAAATAGATTTTTCACATATATGGGTTAAAGAAATTTCGCTCATTGTCCAGCTTGTGACATCAGCATTTCAATCAAAAATAATCCTTTTTAGTCTTCTATTTCAATATTTGAGACGTTGAATGCCCCGAACCAACCGTACACACGAATCGACGTACATAGCCTAATTAATTCGAAAAATCTTCAAACATAGACTGAGTTCGCAAAGATCGTGAATAAAATAACCTATAAAAATAATCTTGTTCTATTATGCGGAATCACTTTCTGAATCAATCTAAGCTTGTCTGTCCATCTTCTCGCCTGGGTGTCTTGTTTTCTTGGATTCGACTTACAGAGAGGTTAGATAGATAGGTGCAGAAAATGGTTTGGATCGGACCAATTTCTTGAACGCATGCCTTATAACGCGTTGCCTTGGACAATCGCAATATGAGTAGCTGTGTTAAGCAAAGTGGTATTTAAGGACGCGCCTTGTCCTACTATAGCGTTTTACTTGCTTTCTTGTATCATACAATGTGTACTACGTTCGTCGATTTCTAGTATTATGTACATAAAAATGTGCATTGTCGAGAAAGTTCTGTCGTATTTTAAATAAAACATTTGAATCTGAAGATGTTTGTCGTGTTCCTTAGCACCCAAATGGTGTTTGCCTACTTCTTTTCCAATTGCCAATAGGTTAGGTGTAGGTTACTTTCCGAGATCGAGGTTTTTCCTTGGGACCGACTCTCCCGCCACCATCTTTGGCAGGTAGGAATATTTGCAAAATCATTTCACCACGTGTGACGTAAGTTTCTGTGTGAGATCTGGCATTTATTATAAATGCATCGTCTTAAATGCGCTGTGCATTCATTCGCTGTGCACTTTGCGTAATTAACTAATGGATGATATTGGGAGAGTAGTTTTCTAATACCGCACGAGAGATACGCTAAATAAGTCATAAGACCCCACGCGACCTATTTTACTTGCATGCCTTGATCTGATAGGTAAAATTGTCTCCAGCTAACAGAATATACCAAAAATTCTCCGCCAATATATTCATACATGGAGAGAGCTGGTTTGATTTAGACATGTCTATCCATACATATATTAAAATTCTCATTTTAAAATTGGGTTTTTTCTTTAGAACAACATACTTGGTCTACAAATTTGCTTTTTCTTATTCTCGGCAAAGCCAATCGACTTTTTATTGAAAATCATATATAAATAAAGGCAGAGTATAGTAAGTAAATATCGTTTCCCAGTTTATGTAGTTTTTTACAAAGTGATGCCAAATTGCATTGACAAAAAATATAAAATAAAAATCGAGCTACCATAATACGAAACACAGTATTTGATATATTGTCGGCATATTGAAAGAATTGATTAAAAAATTCGTTCTTTCTTTTCTTTCTGCTCTTTTGCGCTTTCTCTTTTGCTGTTACTTCTTTTCCTCCTTTGTTTTATTTTTTTGTTTTTTTTGTTTTTTTTTTCTTTCAATAAGTGATAGAGGATGATTAAAGATTCGACTAACACTAGAGCGGCATAATGACTATTTATTGCAAAGATGAATGCAAGCAAATTTAAGTATTATTTAACAATTTATTTATTTTGTCTGTTATTGTAATCAAAGCATTTACAAAATCATGAGGTTTTATAATTCATTTTCGCATATGATGTATATGCGTTCATGTATATGCAGATGTTATATCTATTTTGTGCATCGCTTTCGGCAAATCAACAAGCCTGAAATAAGTAGAAATGTCTGAAATGCTTGCCAAGTGCTATCTTCTCTCTTTCTCTCTATCTCTCCCTCTCTCAGTCTCTCTGTCTGCATATGTAAATTCATGCAATAACCAAAATTTGTCCGTCTTATATATATTTAGTTTTTCTTATTTTGTGTGTGTTTGTTTTTTTTTTTCTTTTTTGTGTATTTTGTTTTCCTTTCCCTTATTATTATTATTATTATTATTGTTGTTTTTATTGTAGACGGAACAACACTGGCCTTTGTTTTATGCAATGCTTTCGATTTATGTTAAAATTCTTCTGATTTCATTAAAATTAAGTGGCTGATAATTAATAAACAACAAGCATGATATATATTCATATATATGTACACATGTAACAACTAATGATGTAGCTATTTGTGACGCGAAACTAAATTCAACAAAACAAAACAAAAAAATTAGGAATTTTAATAGAAATTGCATTTTTTTTTTTTTTTTAAGGAATTTTTAATTCAAAGCGTCGACAATTTTGATGGTAACACAAATTTTAGCGAAAAAATGTTGAATAACCTGTCAAAGCTCGTAGAATTTGTTGTCTTTAAACTTAATTTTCTCGGTATTCTATGCATTCCGGAAAGTATAAAAAATAATTTGCATCTATCTGGAGCAACGTGGACGCAAACGTAAGTGAATGTTATATACACTCTATATGCATCTGCTTCAAACGCGTTCACCTATTGTTGCTTTTACACCAAACGAATAAATAGACGGTGGCCCGTACATTATTTATTATTAAATCAGTACAGAATGCTACACATTCATTTCGAATAAATAGGCTATGTAAAGTTTGTGAAGCGCACTTCGTAAAGGTTGAAAAGGGAATGAAAAAAACCAATTTGCTTACCTAGTTGCGGTCAATGGCGGTATAAGTAGAAAAATTTCACTTTAATTGAGATAAACACATAACTCCATGTAGAATATTCTCAATTACGTAAATTTCTGTTGAAAATTATTCTTTTCATTTCGTTCCGTCCCTTACACTGACCGAAAAATTGTTGTTTGTTTGTGAAGTAAAGGATAAAGTTATGCATACATACATTAAAATCAACTTGAACGATAAATACACGATTTGAAATGTATTTACATTTACTTGTATGCTGCAGTATTGCAAAACCCACTTAACTACAATATCGGGAGTGTTGTAACATATTTCCCATAACCTCACAAAAACAATGTGACCCTAGCGATTCATATATATATATATATATATATATATATATATATATATTATTATCTAACTTCTGCTATAGATCTCTCTATGGCATTCTTCTTCTATCTCTCGCTCTTGTCTTTATTTATATGCAGAGGAGACACAATGTCAACAGAAATGATAGCGGTGTGGCGTCAGCGTTGGCGATAAAATTAAAAAAAAAAAAAAAAAAAAAAACGAAAAAAAAAACAAAGGAAAACATTTCGCTATTAATTTTTTTTTTTTTTATTTTTTTTTTTATGCAATACAACCATTAGAATAATGTTTGTTTATGGAATGAAGCAAAATCATATTCAGGATGATAAGGAGACATTTCTTATTTTTCTTTTGTCTCTTTTTCTCTTCTGTTTATGTTTATATAAAATTTTTATAAAATTTGCTGCTTTTAGATGAAGCCGTTTATAAATAAATTATTGTATTTTAGAAATTTATTCGCTTTCTCTGGGTTCACTTCATATCTGTATCTCTCTATATAACCAAATATTTATTTAGTCATTCGCTCTGTTGTTGGTTTTGTTCTTATTTTATTTATATAAAAAAATTCTGCCACTTATATACTAACTGATAATGTTGTTAATGTTGCCATTTTTTTTTTTTTTTTTGTTTTTTTTTCTTTGCCTCTATTTTATTTTATTTATTTATTTATTTGTTTTTTTTTTTTTTTTTTTTTTAATTTCTTGGTTCACAGCCAAGTGAACAACACTGTCAATTTATTTTTGCAATGAAAAAATTTATTTTTATTTTCTGTTACAAACTTTTTTATTAGCGTGTAAATAAAATCCATTGAAGAGTAAAAAAAAAAAAAAAAAAAAAAGAAACATAAAAAAAATACCCCATCTATAATAAAGAATATAACGAATTTCCCCACGTATATACGTATACATATAAACTTTGCCATTTTATATACATTTTATATCTTATGAGTTAATAGATTTTCCTTCATGCTGCACTTCAGAAGTTAAAAAAAAAAAAGAAAGAAAAGAGAAACAAAAAAAAAAAAAACTCTTCAAAGTCTTTCCAATTTGTCTCTATTGAACAAGAGTTTTCAATATTTTTCTTTATCATCTTTTTTATTGTCCTCTGCTACATTTTCTTATCGCTTCTGCTAAAGGCGGGGTGGTATACGCTAAAATTTTCATTACATGTACGATATCATGAAATATGCATCGGAGGTCTCATGATGAGCTGATATATTCTTTATAAGCGATTTAATGCCTGGTTCTCCGTCCGTGCGTCCATCATTAATTGCTTTTGGAATTTCTACATTTTTTTGTTTCATAACAAGACAAGAAACTGATTTTTGGCGTCTGTGGCACTTGAGCGGTTGAAAAGTGAATGCGGTTTGCTTACAATCAATGCTTCAGCTATCGCTAAAAATAAGAAAAAACTCCTGCCAACATTTCACAATTCTTGACATATATGAGTTTGACATTTAGCAAAAGTATTTATCGTGACTTTCTTACTTGATTAAATGTTTGTGTGCGAAATATCCGATTCCCTTACCGATCATGAAAAGAAAAGACTTTTATTCTTTGTAGCTTTACGCGGGGGATGGCATGTATTCCAAACGAGATATGCTTTTTAAATAATTATAGCCACCTTATGAAGTCGATTGGATTTTCCAAGCATATGTGGCGTGCGACAATACACATCGGCAAGGCGGGAGGCTAACCTAAAAAAATTGTCATCACCATTAGTAACGACATCGATTCACCCTATCTGCTTATATATTATTTCAATTTTTTATTTATTTTTTGCTCCTGTGTGCTTAGTTTCAAAAAACCACGGGTGGCCTATCAAGAATTAGGAAAAAAAAAAAAAAAATTCTTATTACCTTTCTTCTCTTTAACCTACGCGTCTATGAAGTAAGATAAGAGTTGTCCTCCTTTCGTCAAATTATGCTTTCAAAATTGTTGATCTTTAATTTTAACTTTAGTTTTACTTTCTCTTTTTTGAATAATAAGGAAAATCCTCATGTGTTATTTGAAAGCCCTTCTGCATTCCCAATTGATTGTAATTGAGATAAGCAAAGTCTTGATATTTTGCATTCATGATATAGCTTTCAGTTGTATAATGATCTATAAGTGCGCTTTCAAGTAAAACGACAATAGTCGATATGAAAAATTTCGTTCTAAACCGCATTTGACTTTTCATTTGTTTTTTGCTTTTAACAGTATAATGCGATGAAAAATATTTTATAAAACTATTCATTATCTTGCTATTTTCCTTCTTCATCATCGTCAACTGCTTTCAGTTTAGCTAAATTTTCGTTAAATTGTGAAAAGAAAAAAAAAAAGTAAAAAATCGTAAAAAGAAAAGTTATGCGAAACTGTCGTATTTTAAACAACTTGTTAACTGTTGTTTATAAAAGTCAAAGTCAGAAAAGAAGTAATAACACAGCTGCATATGCTGTAGTGGTGATGGTAACTTTTTAACTTAAATTTACTGTCAAAACTTTCTTTGTATCGCATATAAAACGTAACGTCTTCCTAGCATCATTTGTCAGTTCAATGAAAAGTCTAGAAAAATTGAAAAAAAAAAAAAACGTGAACATGTGTATACATCTATATATGTGAATATATATTTGTGTAAAAAGTATACACATACATATATATACATATATATATATATATATATATATATATAAAACAAATTGATGAATAATAATAATGGCTGAGGTGGCTATGAAAAATGAAAATTCGAAAACGTTCATATATTCCACAACAGAGACTTGCAAAAGTAATTGCGTATGCAAACAGAACAGCAGGAAAACGTTTTAAATCTATTTTCATACAAACTTTTTAGCTGAGTCACTCCGTTTTCAATAGCCCAGATGTGAAGCGTTGGAAACCTCAGATAATATTCATCATCCCAATTGCAGTTGAATATGAATGATATTAATTATTGTGTTCGGTGTTAATTTCAATATACTATGTTAAACATTGCTACAATGCATGAATTTATTCCAATTAATTCCTAAATTAAAATTTATGCAAAAAAGCTGACAACGACGTTATGATTACATATTTTTAAATGAGAAATGTAGGAAAGTTTTTAAATTACTGTGATTTTTTTTCTTATTTATAATTGCAATTGCAGCTTGCTTGCACCTACAAAAAAATATTTTTTTTATTCGACGCACACCACTTGTAGTGTAAGGGTATGCTAAGGCTCTACCCATCTATTGTACAATACGCATACTACGCTTTCGTTATATCGATCGATTCGTAATCACTTTCTGAAATGTTCTAAGCTTGTCTGTCTATCTCTCATCCGTAGGTAAATCTTGCATTCTTGTGTTCAATCTGCTGGTCGCAATTTTTATATCCCACACAGCTTATGGGCGCAGCTTATATTAATTTCGTGCGGGTGTACGTAAAATCCAGAATCGATCAAGATAGACTCATCTTTTATTGATTATATCCATCAATTTAGAAGTGATTTTGAGCCTATCTCCGTGTGTGTGTGTGTGTGTGTGTGTCTGTCGATCTGTCCGTCTGGTATACTTTGTGTTCAATATTTGACGAAGTTTCGTAAAGCAAAATATTTTGATCCAAGGACGAGCGCTACCTTCCATATAACGCTTTATTTTCCAAAGTCGTTACAGGGCAAAGTAGTGTAGGGCATTTAATGGTCAGACATGATCTACAATAATATGTTTACTTATTGAACTCACTGTTTAATCGCATTATAAAAATATAAATTTATTTCTTTCTCTAAGGAAAATATTTTAAATGCATATTTGAAAAAAGCAATATATTCTATAGCATTCTTGAAGGCGCTGCACGCGCAATAACAAAATGCTATGCCTTGCCATGAAGTGAATTTTGATTGCCTTTCATCATCGCAAACCAATCGCAAAATTTCCTTATTCATAGTAATAAACGTAATATTTTATCAAACTTAGTAAAATTGATGGGTCAAACGCTTACCTGCAAAATTCCAAAGTTACACCAAAAGCTATTCCAAATGTCCAAGAACATATTTGCAAAGCACAAAATGTAATATGTTTTTTAAATATTAAAAAAATAAGAATTAAATGATAATTTTAGCCGGTAATCATTTGTTGCTTCTAACGGAAAAAAAGAACGAGACAATGGACGGCATAGTTATCTTACAGTTCTTGTATCGAAGGGATTCCTTCCAACCGACAATTATGGGTATTTTTAAGGCTAACGACAGTCAAAAATTATGTATATATATTATGCGCAAAACGCTCTTGGAAATTTACAAAAGAAATTTAATTAAAACCCTGACTGCCACATCACCCAAATTGTCGTGTCTTTACTGTAGACTGTATAAGTCTTTTATTTGAATAGCATAATTTGTAAGCCCTTCTAATATTTTGCTCCAAAAGTATTTTTTTCAAATGACAATATTATGCTGATTACGTTTGACCTGAAGAGTTATTTATATTATCACTCCGTCCTACTGATTTCAAATTTTATTTTTTTTTTTAAGTGCTTCGTTTCATACACGATAGAGTTGAGTTTGTTTAAAAATTGTCAACATTCAATGTTTGTCTTTTGAGGAGAAGTATATCGGTAAGCTATAGACATAAATTATAAATTAAATAAATCCTGTTTCTCTAATCCACTCAGCTGACTTAACAGCATACATTTTCATTGACCATGTATACCCTTCCGTTGAGGATAATTTAAATAATATGATCCCGTGTTTATCTGCGTTATTCGGTACATGTTGTATGGATGAACTCAATGTTTCCTTAATGACAATATCTTACCCAACCTTGAACTTTTCTTCATATTTTTTCGAAAGTTTTTGGATGAGTGAAAGCAAGTTTTCCAAGTCGATACTTAAGGTCAATAGAGACAATGAAAATGACTAAGCAATAATTTAAATCTTTTTCGTGGCATAAATAAAAATGATACAGTTGGCTGACTGTTCGACCAATTATTAGATGTAAGCTTTGCTTTTACAAATCGCATTAACCAAATAAATCTTAAAAATGTTTTCATTTTTTCGCAGTTAGTTGCGTTGTAATAACCGTTACATTTCTCCGAAATAGCTAAACTCTGGTGATGCTTAGGAATTTCTCTCTATAAGCGTAATAATCTTTTACTATATTAAGTAACTATCTTTGTGTAACGACATTGCGGTGCAGTGTAGGATAGCAGTGCGCATAGCCTGACGGAGATTTTCTCGGAAAATAGAGTGGCAGTCAACGCGTTAATTAATTAAAGCGTGTAGTAGTAGCCTGTAGCTTCGACCATAAACCGATTCGGATTATTAATTTTAGTTGCGCAAGACGATAAAGTTTAAATAAGCGCTAGTGTCGAGCCAAGGAATTAAAACTAGTCTCCATTTCTTATGCCGAGCTTTTGACGGTCACGCACAATATTGTCTTTCAAGACAAAACTTAAAATCAACGAATTTGTTTTTAATTTCCGAAAGACGAACAGTGTGGGTCGTAAAGACAGCAAACAAAACTTTTACGACAATCGCCCAATAGGAATGACATGTTTACACTATATCTCAAATAAATGAGAGATGATAGTTATGAAGATTGACTTTTCTTTCTCTGCAAAAATATAAAAATGCGATAATATTTATATTAAATAAATTGTTAAATAAAATTACATTTCATTTGCACCAAGTAATATATAATGTTAAGCTTTCAACACATGCTTGTTAACACATGTTCAGTATATTCCGTTATCTGAGGACTTTTGGGTACAATTGTGTATAAAAAAAAAAACATTTTTTTTTTACGAAAATCCCTTGTTTATAGTCTTCAAGTCGTAATAACCGTACATGTGCGCCAGTAACAGCCAGATCGATAAATGAAAAATTTAACCATAATTTTGAAAGAATACATTGTTTGCTGTAGAGTAGAGAGTACCATGGGATTCTTGTGCACATAAACAAAAGGATTTTTATCAAAACGAAACCAAACAAAAATACATATGCAACATAAAAAAATCCACAGATTACATGCCCAGGTAATGAAATTATTCATAAAGGTATTGTTTTATAAAAATGTTTTTTTTTTTTTTTCTTTTTTTTTTTTAAATTATAAAAATTAAGTTAACTGATATAAAATAAACTGAATTGCAAAACTTTTCATATTCCTCATAAAATATTAGCAATTACGGCCTTTTGGCGCATAAGCGCATATAAATGCGGTGGTATCCAAAAAACAGATGACAGTCAATATATTATAATAAAAAAATGTTCACCACCGCTTTTACGAAATAATATTTCGTTTATAAGGGAGGAGCTTCAGCAAATTGCCTCATTCAATCTAAATTTTTGCTGTAAATTTAAGATAATGAAATGCTGTTCGTCAGCGATTTTTGAATTGTAAAAATTGCAAATTGCTTATCGAAGTAGGGAGAGGTCCGAAAAGAGGTACGACCCGAACCATTTGCAATAGAGTTCGGTCCTTGCGACAGGCGGCCGGACAAGCTTAGTTCGATTCAGGAAATATTTCTAAATCGATCAGTATAAAGAAAGTGGTATCTAACTTAAGTTAAGTTACAAACGTTCGCACCCACTTAATACACCGTGTATTACAAGCGGTTTAAGGTATAAATATAATATTTGGTTGAAAATTGTCCTCTGTTCTTCGTAGTTTTTTTTTTGCGGTTTTTATTTTTCTCGTCTTTTTTGTTTTTGTTTTCTCTTTATTTACTATGTAAACAACAGATCGTTTTCGAAGTTAACTTTCTTCAAAGTACAATAAAAATTCAGCAAACTGACTGAGACAGTACAATCAAGCGGATACAAATTTTCATAAGCCTGTAAACGGAAGAGATTCGTGTTGTGTTTGGCGTATCGTGTAATTGACATTGTTTTCCTTGGGTTTCTTCAGTCAGGTTGTGCTCATATGAAAATTTCCCTCTTATATCCCTTAATACAAATAATTCGACGACCGTAACACCAATGTTATTTATTCCATAAACGTCAACGAGATATTCGAAAAATACGCTCGTTAATTATTATTATGAAACACTTTACGGTAAACTGTACGTATCTTTACTAGAGAATGTTTTCATCATTTTGCGATTGACATTCAAAATTTTCTTATGCCAGATCCTTTGGGATGGAAGTTTTTAAATTTAAATTTATTTAGATCAATCTGTACATTAATTAGCCTCTTTCCATTGCTTCTAGAAATTCTTCTTATTGACAATTAAATTTTGGATGATTGACTTATTTGAATTTAAGTTCAAACATTTTCATGTCGCCCAGTGCCCAATAGAATCAACATTTGAGCCCGACCGCAGTAAGCGGAAATTCCATAACTTGCACTTTTACTTACCTTATGATGTCTGTATTTTTCCTACAACCGCGAAAGCATTTTAAACTTCCGCTACAAATGTGCAGAAGTATGAAGAAAGACGGGTCTTATCAAAATGATTCTTATTCGTACCAATGTCTGTATAAAATGAAAACCATATATAAACGAAATATCGATGGATAGGACGAGATATTTGAACGGGTGTCGAGCCTTCATACCGCAACTAAATGTCGTAACCACTGATCGTAGGTCGTAGCATGCATGCTTTTTATATATTAAGGTTTCTTTCACAAAATTCATACAACTTTTAATCGCAATAAATAAAAGGAGACAGCGTAACGTATGTAAACGTATGTTTATGTCTTTAATAATAGCAATAAATTCGTCAATTTATTATCCGTGCCGTAACGTTTATTAACGAATAAACAAATCCCCTTATGGTTGCTTGCTGAGGCTTTCTCTCTTCAATTTGTTTGTTTTATTTAAAGAAAAAAAAAAAACCAAAAAAAGAAGGAAAAGAAAGAAAAACAGAAAAAAAAAATTAGAATAAACGAAATTAGAAGAAGAAGAATCAGTCTAAGCATTAAGATTATTTAACGCTTAAAGGCTTCCTTTTGTGTCTTCAACGAAATAATAAACTTCCCTGCCTTTCTCTATATATATATATATATATATATATAATTTGAAAATCAACGTCTCATCATTATCATCATTATCATCATTTTCGTAATTACGATTACGGTGAAACACTAGTCTTCTTATCTTCTAATTTGTCGCCGTTGCCGTTGTCGTTGTCGGCGTCGTCGCC